GTATTGGAAACAAGTGTTGGTAATGCTCAATCCCACATAGTATTGGAAACACTATTGTGAATGGTATTTAAGGCTTGGCTTTCCCACTTCCTTGTTGAGTGATAGAGAACAAGGGAGACTCTCGCGCGCCGCCGCCGCCGTCGTCCGTCTCGTCTCGTCTCGGGTCGTGGTCGTGGTCGTGGTCGTGGTCGTGGTCGTGGTCGTGGTCGTGGTCGTGGTCGTGGTCGTGGTCGTGGTAATACGTGTCTTCGACACGTCCGCGCGAATACTATCTTTTTAGAGAAAGTTCTTAAGAAACAAATGCAATACCACCAGTCGTTGCGATTTTGGACTATCGCAATGCGGACTTCGACTATCGCAATGCGGACTTCGACTATCGCAATGCGAATATGTAAATCGCAATGCGATAGTCCAAATTCGCATTGCGATAGTCGATTATCGCATTGCGATTTATATATTGGCATTGCGATAGTCCAAGTTCGCATTGCGAATCTGGAAACTGATTTGCGATACCGGAGATCGCGTTGCGAATTATCGATCGCATTGCGATTTAGTTGGTCATTTTGGCAAATCCAAAAAAAGTTGGTTAAAATCGTATATTATAAGGCATTTTTGGTCAATGAGGTTATTTTCTCTTAAAAAAATAAAGAATATATAGTACTATTCATCCAACTTAAAGAAATTTCCCTAGTTTATTTTCAAATTTTCTGAAATATATATTTGGATAGGGTAGGTTAGGATTAACATTCCCAGCAAAATCTCTTTTTTAGTTTCTAAATTATCATTTTTTTTGTTCATTTTAACACTTAAACCTTCATCCCCCCCCCCCCCAAACTATACCTAATATTTATTTTTTATTATCATTGAATCTTGGAGTAAACTTGATAATACATACATGATACACCATTCTCTTAACCATTCAATGATAATACATACTCCTTTCATGTGAGCGCAGCTATAGGCCATAGGAGTAGGTACTAGGCACATAGGGATAGGGTAGGGTTAACATACCCAGCAAAATCTCATTCCCATGTATGTACTCATCACTGTCGGGTTCTTTTACTTTCCATTTCATCTGTTTATGTTTATGAAAACGAAATGCAAAAAGGTGGTGTGGGGAATCCTCGAGCCCTGCGCCACATTCTCCAACTATTCAATGATAATACATACACATTTCTTGTACATGTTATGATCCTATGGATATAATCTGTTGGATTTGTATTGTTTTATGAAGAAAGATGGTGTTTTGCAAAATGGTTATTGCTTAGTGACTACTTTAAAAGCTTGTTCTTTGAGTTCAAAGTTGATTTCTGGGACATTGTTGCATGGGGAAGCTGTAAAAGTTGGAGTTTTGTTGGGTTCTCTCTTGTTGATCTTTATGCGAAATATGGTGAAATGGAACTGGCAGAGAGAAGGCTTATTTGCATGGATAAAAATAATAGTCTCATTGAATGCATTGCTTAATGGAGATGCTCTAAAGGGTGATGGAAGCTGAATTGAGGTGTATAAGTTTACTTTGTCAAATGAGCTCAAAAGTTGTACGTACTTGGTAGACTTAAAACGGGGCTTTTATTGTGCACTCTTTTGCTGATTAAGACCGGTTGTGAGTACGATGGATTTTGTTAGTTGTTACCTTCTTGACATGTATTCAAAATGGGGTCTGCCTAAGGATGCACTTATGGTCTTTAGAATCGTTCAAAGACCCGACATAGTAGCCTGGAGTACAATGATTGACTGCCTCGATGAGCAAAGCCAGATTGAAGAAGCATCTGAGTTGTTTCGCCTAATGAGACGCAAAGGGGTAAGTCCTAATCAGCATACTTTTGCAAGCATTGCTGGTGTAGCCGCTAATTTGGATGGTCAGTTCTATTGTGAAGGCATTCATGCTTGTATACTTGATATGAATTCGGATCTTAAATGTATAACATTGCTAATAATATGTAATCTTCCATTCTCACTAAATCTTATTCTTAGAGATAATCATATATTTTGTGAACTAATCTCACCCTTATAACTTAGAGGAGGAACTCTCAACTCAAGAGTCAAATATCTTCCTTAGGTCAACTATTATGGTGAACGTAAGAGACTTTCCTTTCATGTTATACCCATTTACCAGTTTACAAGCAAACAACACATCATCCACAGTATGCTTAATGTACTTTGATTGGCATGAGTAACAAAAACAGGGTTGAGTAATAAATTATAACTTAAATGACCGAAATATAATAAATGTAAATATAGTGATCGTAATAAGAAGAAAGATAAGAAAAATGACATCCGGGGTAGTTTTCCCAAAGATAAATGACTTCAACTAGTAATTTACTAAAAAATTAACCGAAATCAAACTAGCACTTTAGTTTGCAACTAGCGAAACCCTAATTCTAATAGACAGGTACTATATAAGCTTATTATACGGACTCATTTTCGTTTCCCAACATCTTACTTAGCCTTTCATTTTTCTTCCTTCAAGACCCTAAGCTCCCGCCGCCGCGCAAATCGCCAACGACAATGGCTTCCGAGGGACTGGTTCTCCGCGGCACCATGCGAGCCCACACCGACATGGTCACGGCCATCGCCACCCCCATCGACAACTCCGACATGATCGTCACTTCCTCCCGCGACAAGTCCATCATCCTTTGGCATTTGACCAAAGACGAAAAGACCTACGGCGTCGCTCGCCGCCGTCTCACTGGTCACTCCCACTTCGTCCAAGACGTTGTCCTCTCTTCAGATTCCCAGTTTGCCCTCTCCGGTTCGTGGGACGGTGAGCTTCGGCTCTGGGACTTGAACGCTGGAACCTCCGCTCGTCGTTTCGTCGGCCACACCAAGGATGTGCTCTCAGTTGCCTTTTCGATTGACAACCGTCAGATCGTTTCGGCTTCACGTGATCGAAGCATCAAGCTTTTGGAACACACTTGGGGGAGTGCAAATACACTATTCAAGATGGTGATGCCCATACCGAGTGGGTTAGCTGTGTTCGTTTCAGCCCGAATACTCTCCAGCCCACTATTGTGTCAGCTTCGTGGGATAAGACTGTGAAAGTTTGGAACTTGACCAATTGTAAGCTTCGTAACACATTGGCCGGACACTCCGGTTATGTGAACACGGTGGCCGTTTCGCCTGATGGGTCTTTGTGTGCTAGTGGAGGAAAAGACGGGGTGGTTCTGCTTTGGGATTTGGCTGAAGGAAAGAAACTTTACAGTCTCGATGCTGGTTCTGTCATTCACTCGCTTTGCTTCAGTCCAAACAGGTACTGGCTTTGCGCTGCTACTGAGCAGAGTATCAAGATCTGGGATCTGGAGAGCAAGAGCATTGTGGAGGACTTGAAGGTTGATCTCAAGGCCGAGGCTGAGAAATCCGATGTCACCGATAATGCAAACAAGAAGAAGGTATTAATGTCTTTTTTTATTATAACTATTCTTTTAAAGTTTTATAATTTTGCTGTATGTTCCATCGTTTGCTACTAGACTGTTGGTTTTTATTTCAATATCACAGTTTGCATGAAATTTTAGGTATTGTGCGTGTAGCTTTACTATGATTCTGTATTCTTCTGTATATGCTGAACATATAGAATTTAGCTGCTTGATAAATGCCGTTTACCATGAATATATGCAGACAAGCATTTTCACCTTAAATTTACTGTACATAAATTGTACTGTTTGTTGATTGGGGGTTATTTGCCAAATTGGTCATGTTCGTGTTTCTTGTCAAGGCTGCATTTGCGAACATTATCATTCTCTTATTTTTATAAAGCTCAAAGATTTGAACTTGCCATTTATGTTACTCCCCGAGTCAAATAGTACAGCTTTTACTAGAATCAAGCTTGTCTGGTTCTGGATTGGTTTCTATGTTCTTCTCTATATTCTGTCGGACACTTCACTTTTTTTCACCCTAATATGGATATGGGAATATGACCTCTCTGGATCCTCCAAAGAAGTGGAAAAAACTAGAAAGATATATCACACCCGAGTTTGAGTCCTATGGGTTCCCTGTTTGGACCCAGGTTTTTAGTGGCTCTTAATTCAGCAATTGGCATTGTTGAACTGATTGAATTATATTTATTGTATTGCAAATAGAAGAGAATAAAGAATTGAACAATTGAATTTGCAGGTGATACACTGCACGAGCTTGAACTGGAGCGCCGATGGAAGCACATTGTTCAGTGGTTATACAGATGGGGTAGTCAGAGTTTGGGGAATTGGTCGATACTAGACTACATGCCTTGCCTTGATTGAGTAATCACAATATGAAAGAGACTGCCGTAGCATTTTCAAAACCTTTTAAGATTTTGTTTAGGTGTTGGATGTTTGAGTTATATTTACTTTGTTTGTATGTTACCAGGCGCACTATGCTCTCTGTTTTGGGTTTGGTTGTTCAACTTAGATATTTTTCCTTTATTAATTTAGTTGTTTTACTCTATCCAACGCACTTCTCTTCCTATGCTCCTAAATAAAATAAAGCATATGCTAAGCTGTTCTTGAATATTTATTATTTTTTTACATTGAAGTGAATTTGTGTTGTAATACAATGCTATTTTTAGTTAGCAACAAAAGTATATCTTATGCAATTAATTTGTGAAATGAAACATTGTGAAATTTTAGATTTTATAAATTAATCATTATAGTAGTGCTATTTGAATAGTAAATTATTTTATATAATATAAATTTATTTAAAAATTAGATATCTCACGCATGTAATATGTTTTTTTATTGAAGTATTTCATTTTACATGTATATTATTTTTTGTATTTAAAATTGACATGTATCTAGAGAAAAATATTTAAACATTTGATTTTAAATACTTGGATAAAAATGCAAATTGCGGAATCTACAAAAGAGAGAGAAAACGGAATTGATTATATTTGAAGGAAAATGGATCAAAACTATTACATATAATACATATTATACACAAAAAATGAAACGCAATATGATACTTGTACAAGTATTTAGAATATCTGTTTAACATTAGTTAATCAAAATTATCATCAATTTGACAAAAAAATCAGTCACTTCAAACTCTCACCCCACTTTAGGGGTTTACAAAATTTCTCTCCGGGCCAATGCCCCACCAAAGAAACAATATATATATAACTACAAAAATGGCATTAAATAAACTACAAAAAGGGATCATAAGTAGGGTATTATTCCGATCTATTTACTCTCCAACATCCACCTAAAAAGATCATTGAAAATGAAATTTTCGAAGCTAGGTCCCAGGTGGGCGGAATCAATCATTTCATCTACACGCAGCTAAAAGTCCTTTTTTATCGTCTCGTCCAAAATGATTTTGATAAAAGAATGCTAGGGTTTTTTAACGTGAATCAATTGATGTGTAGTTATTTTCCAACCTTTTATTTGAACATGTCGCCGCTTTGTGCCACGGTTACCCTCCTCTTCTTTAACTGCTTCCGCCAACATGCAAGGGTCACGTCTTCCTCAATCAGCTTGTCTGCTTCCCTCAGCACATCATCGACCTTGCTGCCTTCTTCCAAAGTTGACAACTGAGCATTTTCAACAGTTTCATGCCTTCTCTTCTTCGATTTATTGCGAAGAAAGCAAGCAAGCGTCTGATGATCTTCGTCTGTTCTGCCACCTTCATCTCCAGATTGCTTGTTGCTCTTTCTGCTCTTGCTGTGCTGCTGCCGAGTTCTCCTCTCTTTCTTATTTTTCTTTGCCGAATCCTTGGCTTCAACAATCCTTGAACTTTGAGTGGTTGGTAAAGCCATGCTTGTTTTCCTCTTGGATCTTGGATTGGAAGAACTTCTCTTCCTATAAGCATACTCCACACCAAGATTTTCCAAGTCTACACTACTGCTCTGCACCACTTCAGCACCGTCGTCAGCTCCTGAAAACACAGAATTCTCTGAACATATATAATACTGTTCTTCATGTAATTCGTTTACACTCCTCTCGGAACACTGTTTAGGTGCCCCTCTGCGATTCTTTCTCCTCTTTATAGTAAGACACCTACTGAATGATTCAACCTGATGATTGGTGGTCCTACACAATGTTGAAAGCGGGTGAGATGAGGAATTATCCTGCACTGATTCAATGCATTTACTACTCTCTGGCTGTTGTTTTCTTTTCTCCGTCTGAACAGCATCATCCTGCACTTGCTCACTGTAATTAGTATGTCCTGAAGGTGGTTGTCTTATTTTCTCCTGAATAGCAACATGCGCTGGTTCAGTATTATTATTATTTCCTGAAGGCGGTTCTCTCTTTCTTTTCTTTTGATAGGTAACATCTTGTGCTGGTTCAGTACAATTATTATTCTCCACAGGTGCGCTCCTTCTAATCTTCCTAACGGAATCATGTCCACCAGCAGCCTCAACCTCATTTTCATCGATTATCCCCGGAACTTCAACAAGACCACCTTCAGCTCCTTTTCTACAACTCTTGTGGCTCCTCTTTTTTGGGGGAAGCCTGTAGCACAGGAGCAAAGTACGAGATCATAAACGAGTTATAATATGGTTAAACAGGAAAATCATAATTTGAATGAATACACAAGAACTGAAGTAGGAATAATAACAGGCAAAATGATATTAGAGGAACTTATTCATTCTGTTGAGTAAGGAGCAATGAAATTGGATGTAAAACGTCTCACCTTATTGCTGCAGCATTTTCCTTGTCAGAGTCCGGCCTGCTACCTCTGCATAGGACAAAAAGGATGAATCAAACTAGAATCAGAAGAATAAGTTAAAAATGAAATATAGCATGATTGTCATACCTTTGTTTCCTTTTTCCTTTACTTAGCAGATTTTTATTTTCAGGCTCAGGAGTTGAAGCTATCATTGGTAATGAGGCAGCTTGGTCATTTTTCCTTCGTTTCCTTTTAATTGGCCGATTTCTATCTTCCGACTCAGAAGTTGCAGTTATAATTGGTAATTGAATATTAAAATCATTGGGGCCAAGGGCAGGTCGCTCAGATTCCCGATCTACAAAATTAGATATAAGAGCAGCTTTACGTACTTTTCTAGCTTCTCGAAGCAAAGGCACATCTTCAGGATGCAACGTTTTCCACCTCCTATATAAAAGACAGAAGTTGCAGTTAAAAGGTTGTACGGAAAAACAAAACACGGTATTGGCATGCACAAATATCACAAGAACCACAAAATAAAACTTGAGGTCATTATCAAGATCAGTAATCAGCGAGGTTTAGCTTTATGGCAAAGAGAAAGAAGTAGCTAGACATTAACTATTTCAAGTGCACCCTAAACCCAATATCTAAGATCTTCTTCATACCTCCAACACTGGTTATCGGTTCGTGAAGACATACATGTGGCAATCTTTGACCAGCAATATCCTTGTTCTTCGATGGCAGCCTCCAGTCTTGAGTCTTCTTCTTCAGTCCATGTGCCTACATTCAAAGCTGGATCTAGAGAATTGACCCACCTGGCAACAGAGTGAAAGATTAGTAACTTTATTTAACACCATCTTAGTGGATTTTAAGATTTCTATACCATACCTTTCTCTACACTGCACTTGAGTTCGACCAGGAACGACTTCAGCTATTTTTCTCCAATTTTTGGGGCCAAAAAGCATCACAGCCACTTTTAAGCGTTTGTCTTCCTCACGTGTCCATCTCCCAACTCTTTGCCTGGTTGGATGAAGTGACTTTTTCCATCTGCGGATTAAAAGAATCTCATTAGTACAAGAAATGGATAATGATACCAATTAAACAACAAAGGAATGATAAAATAAACTTATGGAAGGTGACATATGTCAGGATAGATCACGTTTATAGATGACAACTGTGTTTTAAAAGGTGTGAGGCGCTCCAAGGCGATTAGCTACCCGAGAGCCTCAATTTTTTGAGGCGCTTTGAGGCGAGAGATTCACGTACGCGAGGCGCTTAATTTTACAAAACATTTGTAAATATTTTATAACCATACCTCAAACACAAAACAACTTAATAAGCAAAAATATTTTATAACCATACCTCAAACACAAAACAACTTAATAAGCAAAAACACCAAGTAGCATAGCAAAAACACCAAGTACATACACTACAGTGATACAAATTTTAAAATTAAGACTTACCTTAATGGAGAAAATCGAGAAAGGAGATAGGAAAAACTGAGAAAGGAGTCTGCTTTCAACTTCAACGTAGAACAATCACTGAATTAAGCATGAATGGAGGAGGGAGAGAAAATTTTAGGAGGGAAAAGAAGCTCCAGGGTATGCATCGGAGAAACTAGAGAGCTTGGATCATGATTTATAGACATACAGTAATTAAAAAATTGGACGTTAGAAGGTCAAGAGACAGTTCAAAGTTCCAGGAATACATTAATGAAGTAATTGGAATTTAAAAGGTCTGACTGTTGGAAGAAATTCGAGCCCAGACCCAAAATTTAAAAATGGGTCATTGTACGTGAATCGTTAAAAGCATCGCCTCGTCGCCTCTCGCCGCCTCCGACAACTGAATCGCCGCCTCATGTACTCGCCGCCGCCTTGGTGGTCGGAGGCTTTTTTCTAAACGCCTCGCCTCGCCTAGCGCCTCAAAGCGCCTCAGGCGCGCTTTTTAAAACACAGGATGACAAAATAACGAATTTAAATGTTTCCTCAATTCACTCTCACCAGAAAAACTGTTGTGCCGTTAGCAGGAAAGCTATGACTCCAATTTGATACAAGGAAAATGAAGAAGTTAACTAACCTATTAGAGCATTGAGTGCCAGTCCGTCCTTTCAAAGTAGAAGCCACAGATTGCCAATCACATTCACCGAAACCCTCAACAGCAATGCGAAGTTGATCATCCTCCTCCTCAGTCCATTCCCTTTTCAGTATGGACGCATTCAAACTCCTCTGGTACCGTGTCAGACATTGAAATGGGGTTCTGTTCGACCCCAATAATACAGCAATATCAAGCCAATTATCAATCCCCTTTTCTTGAGCAATAAACAAAAGATTCTTATCTTCTTCAGCAGTCCATGGATTGTGATTGATGAGGGGATCTTCATGATTCAGCCAGCTGCAGGAATCAAAGACGAATATAAAAATAAAATCATAAAAAAGATAATGTCGAATACGATGGTTCTGGTCTGAAGGGCATGAAAAATGAGAGCATCACAGACAACTGTGGTGACAATCATCAGATGCATTAAACAGTAAATTCCACTGTTTTGAGTAAAGCAGATGTCATGTAGGAGTCCAACCTGCATGACCTGCACAAATCTTGCACTTTTATTCAAATCCAACAATGGTAAACACATCTGTGATTATCATCATCAGAGATATCTTATAAGCTTTCTTCATTGGAGGACACATGTTTCAGAGAAAATCAATGAACATGAAAAACTAGTTAACAACTATACAGATTGAGGACTGAAACAAAGTAAACATGTTCCTAGGAAGTATAACACATGTTAGTATATTTTTTAAAGGAAAAGGGAAAAAAACAATATTTGTCGAAGCAAGATGCATTGTCAGCTTCAGGGACATCTAAGAAACTAGGTTTGCCAGACACATGCCTCAGAAAAAATCAAGATTTATTTCAAACTAAAAGTCCAAAAATGATATTGCATTAGGACGTAAGAAATTCATTCAATGGTGGAAATAGATAGGCCTAGGTCCCACAATGAAGACAATCATGTTTTACGTATTTTCTAGCCCCAAAATAGAACAGAACAAAGAGAAGAGTAAGGACAGTAAACAAGAATTTGGTAAAAAAAAAGGCATACAAAATAAGTTAAGAAAAAGGCGATAGATTTGAAGATAAAGTCAAAAGTCAAAAGTACCCTGCAAACTAAAAACATGTAAAAATCAATGATAACAAAAAAAGGCACAAATATGAGGGGTAAACTGCAATATTTCAACATACAAAGTGAAATGCTGAAACTGTAGCAATATCTCTATTTCTTAAAGCAAAAAAGAGTTAAGTTTTCCAGCATTTAAATGGGACTGAACAGCGTTAGTCGTGTAAAAGTGTTCAGACAACAAAGTGGAACTTGTTACTGGGTTTTCAGCATCAATAGGCGGTCAAACAATATTTGGTAAATAAAACTATTCCAGACAACAAACAAAGATGTGGGACTTGCCACTGGGTTCTAAATATGGAAGATCCCAACAAATTGAACCTTCTCTTTTAGATGCAAGGCAAAATTTTCCAAATGTGAGATGTACAGAGCAAGTTCAATTTATATAGCTAATCAGTGTTTTGTGTTTTACGACAGTCAAAGAAGTAAACAAATGCAACCCCAGAAAAGAAACCAAATGCTTTAAAGATTATTATGCCTTTGAAAAATATTCATTATATATCTGTATATGGAAAAAGGATTACCAAGCAGAGGATGCTTACCGTGTTTCACATTCTGCTCCAGAACGACCCTTAACATAAAGGGAAGCTAACTGATCCCAATCCACTTCAGGAAGAAATTCCCTAATCCTCTCTGGGGTGATTTCAAGATCTTTAACTGTTGCAATGATGCTATCCAAATTATTTCCATCTTGAGGTGACCAATCTGAACAACTGGCAATATCAAGTGCATGAGTATAATAAATATGCCAAATGAACAACAAAATCAAAAGAGAAAAAATGTATCGTTCTAAGTGTTATCCCATAAGTATATCAATATGAATATTAAACAACTAACACAATTTTCTTGATCCAAGTCTTTGAAATTATGACGATAAGAAAAACAACTTATATGCTTCCATTTTATTTTTATTTTTATTTTTATTTTTATTTTTATTTTCTGCATTTAAATGAACATTTAGATGTTCAAAAATAAGATAACCATCTCATAAAGTTGCACTAAACAGCCCCCAAATCCTTGTTAACAGACAAGCCTACATACTCTTGAACTGACTTGAGCAGTGCATAAAATTTATTATCTCCAATATACAAGCCCAAGATATGGTGATATATCAGAATAAATTTGCAAGGAACATGTAAGAGATATTAGAAAGAATATCTTTCATCCATAGCATAACAGTTAACAAATTGTAACTCTATCCTAATTTGAATCGCAACATGCATAACTAGTCTTGTGAGTTGCAAGCCATCTTCCATTTAAGACATGACTTCAGACACACAAAAAATTGATATAGATATGGAGCAAAAACAAATGCTAAATCTGTTAGAAAAACACACCTCAACCAATCCACTGAAACTTGAAGTGCCCTCTCTTGAAATTGTTGCCTTATTCCCTTTTCAAGATTTTCTCTTTCTTCTCTGGACCATTTTTTCCGCTGATGTCTAAGTGGAAATTCTATTAAAGTCATTTGGTAACTAGCTACTCTAGAGTTATCTGGTGGACCATAATCAGAAGTGACCTTTTTATCATTAACCTGCAGCGACAAAAACATGTCAAACTCACCAGCAGATGGCACCTTGAAAATCAAATCTACAATAACTTCAGAGAATAGAAACTTTGGACGTTTAAACAATAAACATGAAAAACATTTGATAACCTTTATTTTCATTCCAAAAATTAAATAAACGCACATATATAACCATATGACAATAAATAGAAGCATAAAAGGCCAGCAAAAAATGGTTACCTCCGGATCCTTAGAAGTTCTTGACTTTCTTGCTGAAATTAACTGTATACGAGGATCCTTCTTAGCTGATAATGCTCGGCCTGTTATTTTTTTGCAAGAAACCTGAAAATCTCTAAGAATTTTAACACGTTCCTTCAATTTCTTGTTCTCCTCAATTTTAACTTCAATCTGAGTCAACTTACTTCGAAGAAGCTTCTGATAAGACCTGTTCTTTTTAATAGCATCAAACAGAAGCTGTGCAGACTTTGGGAACCTTGAGGACTTATATGTTGATAACTCATGGACATCAGACTGGTCCCACTGAATTAAACCTACAGACTGCATCTCCGTATTGTCAATTGAAACATGAGAAATATTGCCAGACTGCTCATGCTCTTGAAATCTTTCACAAATATCATTGCCTGTCGCTTCCTCTAAGGGTGTGCTAGTCATATAAGTGGGCTCTCTTTTCTCCATGTCATCCTCTCTGCTGTTTTTCCAGGTGGCTGATCAACATAATTAAAAGAAAAGTAAACCCGGGCATAAACGAGCAGCAACCACAGGTAGTTTTCATGTTTTAACATAAATGTATTGATGACAGAGAGAATGTGAGAAAGGGAACCACAGAACCTCAAAAAAGAAAAAGAAGACAATTACATCTATAAACTAAAAAGAACATTGCCTTTAACACATCTAACAATATTATGCACCACAAATTAACCTGAAAATCAAAAAGAAAATCCACCACGATAATGACTTGTTTCTAAAATAAATTACTACAAAGTTGATGAATACAGACATCTTTGAGAGAGAGGGTTCTTGACTTCTTGTAAGTAAAAAAGAAACAAATTTTGCCACATTTGGATGGCGCTCGATATTAAAAAAGTTCCAATTTTGCAAGGAAAAAAAAGGGGGGAAAAAAGCTTCAGACCACATAAGATCTCTTATACTTAAAATTATGTACCCGTCCCACCAAATGGACACAAAATCTTTGGCATAGTTATCACTTATTCACTTCTACCAAGTTACACATGCAATCAAAATTGCAATTTCTATACCGGTATTTTAGTAATAATTCAGCTAATTCAACCTTCATGCTATTTTTCACTACTAACATGCGATATTGAACTGAGAAACAGTAAGGCACAAAATTCAGAACTTCGGAGGATATCAAGATGGGCTTAGATTTAACATTTGAATTAATGATGAAGCAATGAAAATTCTATTTTCGAACACGAAACAGGAAATTCATTATCCAGATAAATAGAATACATTAAAACACCAACCTACTAGACAGTAAAACCTTAGTTTCAAGGAGTATAGCTACTTACCATCAGTAGAATAAGCCAAAAACCGCTTCTGGATAACGCGAAGAGTCTCCAAATCATCTTCAGCATCCTCGTCAGCAGAAACCGGAGGAAGAATGCAGAGAGGCTCCATAGAAAGAGGATCACAAACGTCCAGGGAAACCGCTAAACGATCCCGTACACTCCGGAAAATCTCCATATCATCGTCGCTCCCCGAGTCCGTGGACGCAGCCAAGGCGGCGGCATCTGAAGTGGAAGGTCGGTCGTTGTCGGAAGGGACGAATTCGAGACTGTTAAGGTCGGTTCCGGTGCGCAGACAGGCTTTCTTTAGGGCTTTCATGTCCTCGTCAAAACCGTCGCCGTTTTCACTGCCGGAGAGCTCAACATCATCTAGTTCTTCTCCGTCTTCGTTCGCGGCGTCGTATTGATCGTGTAGAGACATTGTTTTTGGCTTGTTTGTAGATACAAGAAGCGAAAATCAACAGAGGGATTATTGTGAAGTTGCAGGGAAGGCTGAAGAAAGTCGCTAGAGAAAACAAACAAGCGAAGGTTTCTGCTTCGAATTCGAAACAAAAACAAACAATTGATGGGCCTCGGCTAGGGCAAGAATCAGATCCATTAATAGTTTGGGTTCGAGAAAATATGTTTGGGCTTAAGGATTGGGCCTTGTTCTTGTACCATGGAGAAGAAATGGTAAATATATACTTTGGTACATGAACTTGACTTCGATATGCAATTTAGTACCTAAATGTTTTTGTCGAATTATGTATAGAACTTGATTTTAAGGTTCAATTTGACATCTAAACTTTTTTTTTATTCAAATTGGTATTTGAACTTGATTTTTAGAGGGTGTTTGGTTTGCAAAAAATATAATTACCAGTAATAACTTATTACCAATAGTAGAATTTTTTGGTTAAAATGGTGGAATGTCATTACCTCCAAATTTTTAGTTAATGAACAATTCCCACCACTTTTTACATAGAAACCTCTTGACTAATGAATTCTTTTCACAAATGTCACTTTGGACACTAATTATATTAATTATATATTAAATATATTTTCTTTATAATTTAAAATTAGATAGTGTAACAATTAAAATGTTTTTATAAATTTTTATTTAAATATTTTTAATTTAATATTAAATTTAATTTGTTGAGAAAAATATATATTACAATGATAGACTGGTAAAATATATATTCAAGTAATTTTATATTCCTCCAACCAAACATTGTAATCTTATATTCCTGCTAAATAAACCAAACAAGGTAATACAACATTCCCAGAGTAATATTACAACTCAGTAATCTTATTCCCAAATGCAATCTTATATTCTGTGAACCAAACGCACACTTAGGTTCAAATCGAAATGTGGAAGGGTATTTAACATGAACTCGATGGGTTCTAATCGATTTGACTCGATGGGTTTGAGTTTTAAAAAAATGAATTTGATTTGGGTCAAGTTGTGTTTTTTAAAATAAAATTGAATTCGAGTTTAGGATTAAAAATACTCGAGTTGATTTGAAAATAATAGTATAAATAACCTTTTATATATTTAGGAATAATTGTTATAATAAGGAATAATTGTTATAATATTCTCTTTATTTTTTCATTTATATATCTATTTTACCCAATAAAAATAATATATATATATATATATATATATATATATATTATTTGTTTTGGGACGGATCGGGTCATTTGCGAGTTTTTACCCTAATAATCGGGTTGGGTGAAACCTCTCTAAACCCATCTCAGATCGGGTGGTGAGTAGAAGATTGTTATACTCGGGTCGAGGTTAAGGGGGCTAAAAACTCAACTCGATCTAACCTATGACCATCTCCTGTACATAAACTTGACTTCATGGTTCAAATAAATTATTTATTGTAGTATTAATTTGAAGAAGAAAAATAATGTTCGGGCACCAATTTGAAACAAAGTTGAAGTACCAAATCAGATTAAAAAAATTAAATATCAAATTACACATTAAAGCTACGTCCAAGTACCAAAATGTATATTTACCCGAGAAGGAAAAATAAATTTCATTGGATTAATTGTATCATATACGTCCTCCTTTTTATCAACGGAAATGGAATTTCAGTAAAGAAAAGGAGAAATAAAGTAAGCCAGTCCTGATAACAACCAGGGTGACCGACGGTCCCAAAACGGACCCGATCTAAAGACACAGAGAGTCGAGTCCGAGAAAATAAAAGTAGAAAGTAAAAACTAGAAAACATAAAATCAACCAACATCACACAAAAAAACAGACATCGAATAATCATTTCTTTAATCGAATCAATCCACCAACCGACCAAATATATTTGTTCTTAGGCTTATTTTAAAAAACATTTGAATAATTAATAGTGAGTAGATGAAGACACAAAAATAAAAACTTACCCACGAGGGCCGAGGTGGATGGTTAGAGCGCTCTCATCCCTTAATCAGGTCTCGAATTCGGGCCTGGGTATGGAGCCGCTTTAAAATACCTTTGAGGGACTGTTTTACCCCCCCCCAAAATGGGCCCACCCGACAGGAAGTGGTACCAAACAACTAGGCATCAGAACTTGATTCTAGGTGTAGGAATGGATGAACATATGGACTATTTGAGTTACAGAATAGAAGCCACAACAGTATGCATTCTTCTCTTTTTTCATTATAGTACAAAATACAACAGCTCTTGCTTTCCTCAAATGTAAGCTACATGATAGCCCAAGTCTTCTCATGCTTTCCTCAAATTTGTGGTGCAAATCACTATGAATTCCCCTCTTCCCAATAATCAGGGGGAAATGGTTAACGCGCCTAGCCAACTATGAGAAAGCAAATTCCAAGTTCCGATCACGCATTAATATCTGCAACCTGCTGAGACAAGGCATCCACCGTCTCATCGTCGGCTTCTGCAATTTGGTTCCCACTGCAGAAGCATAAATAAATATGGGCATCAATAAGATATACACATCATTTGTAGGTTCCACAATGGGAAAGTGTTGTTGGTTGCAAGACATAAGAGATAATAGTCTACCGTTGATTCGTTTGTTTCTTTCACAACACATTTAGAGGCGCTATTGCTAGCACTCTCCAATAGGCTACGAGCACTACTGTTTCCTTTGCTAGGCCCATTCTCCCCTGCTGCAATTGTGTTTTCTGAGCCGTGAGAACCGAGAATTTGAAGCTGTATCATTATTTTCAATAGCATTCTCATCCTTGGGAACAGGAACTCGCTCTCTGAACAGAAGATAACACAGTTGATCAAGCTAATTGAAAAATGACCCGTAGACAAAATAGAGGTTTTTCCACCCAATCTTAAGTACGATGGTAGCTCCTGGGTTTATGTTAAAAAGGGGCACAAAACTAATATGATTCCTAAACTTTATGGAGCATACCGATGCAAAGAAGCATGCTGCCTCTGAAGTGCAGGAGTACTTTCACCTTTACCATAATGTTCCTCCAGATGTGCAAATTGTCGCTTGAATCGATCAACGGCACTATTAAATTGAAAAAGAAAAGAAAATGTTAGTTGTGATGCTCGCAGAAAAGTTTTCAAATAGACTTCCTTTATCTTTTACACCTGAATTCCAGTTGTTAAGCAACATAGTTCCCATTCATGGGCATAGATTTACAAGTGTTTTCTAACCTTGGGTACATGAAGCTGGTTTGCTCCCCACCCCGAAGATACTCTTGCAGCATCTGTGGATGATACTCTAATATCTGTTCCCTCAAATGAAGAAGTTGATTAAGCTCAATGATAGATAAACACCACATAAATACCAAAGCCACACACGAGGAGTACCTCTAGATAAATCAGCTCTCTGACATCATCTTTTGCCAGTTTCCTTCTCTCAAACTCAAATTCTAGTTTTGAAATAGGTTGGGTGGTTGGTTCACGATCCACATTTGCCAAACCACAAAAATAAGGATCAGCTCATGCCTGCAAGCACAGTGCATAAGCATTAAGGATATCAGAAGCTTGTAAGTCAAGTGACTTGCTTTAATCATTTATACTAAATTTGGTGTCAGTGGTTAGAGGTATTGCCATATCTTTGATGAAATGAAGCCAACAGAACTTTAGATCAGAGAAGTAGCATTCAAGATCATCCCTTCATTCAATTTTATAATCCTTTCTGAATGCACACACATCCATTTCAGAGTTATCTCTTGTAAGCATACTTCCTTGTTCGTGCTTTATTTATGTATTTGGGGTGGGGTGGGGGGAATTAAATAACAGATTGGAATCTTACTTCTTCAGCTGTGACGCGATCTTTAGGATCAAATGCAAGTAGGCACTGAAGTAAGCGAAGAGCCAGGGGATCCGCATTGGGGAACATTTGTGAGAAAGGAACTGGTTGCTTTCTACGCATGCTACTAAGGTACCTCGGTGCCTATTCATTCCGAATCTGCCAGGTCATGATAATTTAAGTATTGATGAGTTAGTCAGTATCTAATCTCCAGAACCTCAAAGGCTATGAGGAAGCTAGAAAAGAGTGTCAAATGCAAAATACAGCTGAATATAGAGAAAATAAAATAATCAACCTTTGATATGGATTCAGCGGAAGGTGTACCAAGCATATCAGTCATAAGATCCAATTGGTGCACCACATTTTTCCCAGGAAAGAGTGGTTTTCCTATTAGCATCTCGGCAAATATGCATCCTATGCTCCAAATGTCAACTGCAGGAGTATACTGCAGAAGAACAAAAGATTCAGAAATTCTAATTATAGCCTAATAAAAAATATTTTATACGAATACTATACATCAAAAGGAAAATGAAATTTCAGATCTCATATCCAAAAGATATAAATATTAGTGATCCATCCCTTCCTAGCGAAGACTCGCAACAACAAAAAATGATGAAGACAATCGATACATGCACTAATAACAACAAAAGTGGGTAAATATTCATGATAACAGACATGGCAGAAAAACTAGATCCATGAATACTTTGGAAGTGAAGGCACAAACGTTCAGTATCTTTAACTCCTAGGTTAGGTGATAACATACTCGATTCCATTTCTTATTGAATGCAATGAAAGTATACGGGGTATCTAGCTAAAGTGATAAAGTGAGGGTCTTGTTTATTATTTTAGCCTTGAACTAATTTTCAAGAACATTACTCAAGAGATAACATCAAATCACACAGTGAATAGGTATATACGTGCACAAAGTATGTTAAAGGAAATTCCTTATCCATCAGAAAGCAGAAGGGGGAATCCCAGTGGAATAAAAACATTCAAGGGGAAAAAATCCATATTTAATGTCTAGGTAATCAAAACAGAGACATCTATGTCTATAATTGGAGCCATCTAAGCAACTGAAAACAGAAAATAAAAACAAAAAGTCTAGTATATAGAAGATCATCAGAACTTACTTTGGAGAAAAAAGATCCACAGAGTTCAGGAGCTCAATACCATCGTGTTGCTACATAGTCCTTAATAGATTAAACAAGTTTAATCTAGCATAACAATTTTAGAGGCTTACCCTCTGTAACGTGGAAAATAAAATTTAGTAAGATTTTTTTTTTGACAAATAATATGGAAG